AGCACAGAGGAAGCTGGCTGTCTTTGAACAATATGATATTCTCAAGTTCAAGTGATCCTCACCTTAGAATCTTGTTTTCAGATTCTGTGTGCCAAGTCCGAGAATTCCAGGCTGGTGGTGCAGATTGACAATGCCAAGCTGGCCTCTGATGACTTCAGAACCAAGTACGTTGAGACTTTTGGACCAGGCGACTCTATGGCCTAAGGACTCTATGGCCCTTTCATGGTCCTATGGGCCTAATGTTGCCTAGAAGGGAGGAGAAAGCCATTTCCCCTTTTTATTTCTCCTCTCAAGGTTGATTATGTAAAATCAGTTTCAAACAGGGATCCACACCCATATGCTATCTGCTCTTCACTCTACACTGGTTTTTCTGGAAGGGTTTCTTAAATCCCCCAATTCAGAGATTTAAATCAGTTGGTCTTTGAGAATGGATCAATTTGGTGATAACCAACAAAAATGAGAGGGAAGTGAGAGACTCCATCTCATGAGTCTTCTCAGGTGCCTTCTGGTGAGTCAGGAGGCCTTTGCAGCTGATCCATGCAGAACTTGAGGGAAATATGTGGACGACAACAGGCAGAAAGCAGTATAAATTCAAAGAGTCAAGATAATCTCACCCAAACAAGACAGGGAGGGGAGGAGGGCTTCTTTCCTGGATCATCCTCCCCCAATCTGTGTTTGAAGGTATGAGGCGGAGCTGTCCCTGAGGCAGCTGGTGGAGGCTGACATCAACAGTCTGCGCAGGATCCTGGATGAGCTGACTCTGTGCAAGTCCGACCTGGAGGCCCAGGTGGAGTCCCTGAGAGAGGAGCTGCTGTGCCTTAAGAAGAACCACGAGGAGGTGAGAGGAAAATAAAAAGGCAAGCTTCAGAGCTAAGCCATTAGCATTGGGAACCAGGAGGCAACACCTGATAGGTTCCCTGGCCTGGGACCCTTCTCCAAAGAACTCAAGTTTAGCTCAGAGAATGATACACTATATCCACATCAAGGAGTGAGGTGAGCTGCTAATTCTCAATCAGTTGGCCCAGATTGGGCAGAAGTTGGAGATGTTGAGAAAAAATGTTATTCAGCCCTACTTTCTGTGGGTCACTGTGAGGTCCTGAACTTGGTGATGGAGATGGAGGGAAAAAAAGCAGTAAGAAATGGCCCCTCTCTTCAAAGAGTTCACAGTGAGAGATAGCCATGTACAAGGCAGAGTGAAGTGTCATGAGATGTACAAGCATCATGTTCTGGAAATAATCCAGTCTGCCTGAAAGGAGATAGGGAACTCTTCTCAGAGGCATATCTTGAAGCAGGAGGAGTATTTCAATACTTGGGTGTTCAGTCTGAGGGAAGAGGCTGAGCAGTTACAGAAGTGGAAGAGCAGGGTGTATTTAAGTATGGCCAATGAGTCAGTGTGGCTGTGAAATGAGGTAGGAACTACACAGCCAAGGAGTTGATACTTAGTTCTATAGAAAATGTGAGGTGATTCTAGTTTTCTGAGAAAGGAATTGATGTGATCCCTATTTGAGTTTATTCAAATGCAATATATATGTAAATCTTTGGGAACAATCAGGGTGTTCCATTTAGTATATTCCTGACAGGGCTGGCTCACTTTCCTATAGTAGAAAGTTTGCAGATTCATTTCTGTGGGTTCATTCCTTCCCTTTACTCTGTCAGGAAGTCAACTCTCTGAGAAGCCAGATTGGAGACCGCCTCAACGTGGAGGTGGATGCTGCCCCAACTGTGGACCTGAACAGTGTGCTGAATGAGACCAGGTATCAATATGAAGCCCTGGTGGAGACCAACCAAAGGGATGTGGAGGAATGGTTTGCTGCACAGGTCGGCATCTAAGCACATAGTACTCTGTACTCGAGGACCCCGAGGGCCCTTAGACAGGGCCTGACCCCTTTCCTCTCCCCTCTGGATATTTCAGACTGAGGAGCTGAATAAGCAGGTGGTATCCAGCTCGGAGCAGCTGCAGTCCTACCAGGCAGAGATCATCGAGCTGAGACGCACAGTCAACGCCCTGGAGATCGAGCTACAGGCCCAGCACAACCTGGTGGATATTGTTTAGATGCCCTGCTGAGAAATGTGAAGGCAGGGAATCAAGTCACTGGGGTCCACTTCATGCCATAAACTCTTCTTAACTCTTGAAGCTTGTGACTTCTTTGCAACAATATAGAGAAACTCTTTAAAGGAACATGTCTCTGACATTTTTTTGTCTTCCCCATCACAGAGAAACTCTCTGGAAAATACACTGACTGAGACCGAGGCCCGCTACAGCTCCCAGCTGTCCCAGTTGCAGTACATGATCACCAGTGTGGAATCCCAGCTGGCTGAGATCCGGTCCGACCTGGAGCGTCAGAACCAGGAGTACCAGGTGCTGCTGGATGTCAGGGCCCGGCTGCAGAGTGAGATCAACACGTACCGGGGCTTGTTGGAGAGTGAGGACTGCAAGTGAGTATGATGCTATGGATTTCTGAGAAAACGGGTAAGGTGGGACTACAAGATGTTATGGGTACACGTATGTTGGCCATATTTTCAACTCACCAAACATATGCATTAATTGAGTATCTACTCTGTGCCCAATGGTATGTGATATTTACTCAAATGTGGAAGGCACAAAGATAAAGGGAATATATCCCCTGCCTCAGGGGGCTAACAAGGGAGAGGTAGTGCTAGAGAGATTGCTATTCACAACAATAACTGTTGTGTAAGATAGATTGTGTTAAGTTCCATGAAAGTTCAAGAGGATGAGATAGTATTTTTCAGAAGAACCATCTAAGAAACATCTTCTACCTTTGCACGTGGCATTCTGAGAAAGACAAGGATTTGGTACCAAGCAAATTTGATTCCAACTAAT